AATCAGCCAAGGATTCAGCTCACTGCAGGACTGCTGATTTTAGTAACAAGGTCTACAGTGAGGCTAAATAACCTAGTTTGATAGTTTATTTGGGTGCCATTTTCAACTCAAAAAAGTAGGCCTTTGTTTGTAGTAGGTTTACTTTAGGAAGGAAGGAGAACATGGAGAGTATACTGTCTCGAGGTCATGGCTGTTATTCCTGATGGGACATGTGCCTGGTGAGGCAAAACTGTAGGAGATGTGACTATGATAAATAACACATAACTGCTTCCAGATGGAGACAAGGTAAGATAAACCAAGCACAGGGCACTGGCAGATCCTAAGAGCAGAACCTTGAAACTGAGACAATTCATCTGAATCCAGATGAGACCCATGGTACAAACAGTGAAAACAAGAAGCTTGTCCGGATCAGCAGACCAAGAAACAGGTATTCCTTACAGTGTCTGGACAGATTTCAGACATACAGTGTGAGAATGCAAGAAAGTAGAACACATTTATTTGTGTGTAGGTGGACAAAGATTATGGCTCATATTTTATAAGTACATAAAGAAATGATTTCAAAGACTTAAGCAAGAGCTTGTGTATGGGATCTGGGAGCAGCCATCCAAGAGAAAGATGAAAAAATGAATGAGCAGAGAGGAGCACAAGTCTGCACAGAAGTACAAAAGGCTCAAGGGGAAAAAACCACCAAGGACACAAAAGAGATCTTGGGATTGACAAAAGAAATTCACTGTTAGAGAAGAATTCTAGGAATAGTAAGTAAAAGATGTGATTGAGTTGGTCTGGAGAGAAAACTAAAGACAACACAGCCAAAGGGGAAGTTAAGACATCCCTTAACCTCTTAATTTTAGAACAGGGAGTACAACAGCATGGCAATAATAGCCCTTTCCTCTTTTATATGGGAAGAAACTGATGACAAATAAGGACAGGGTCAAGAAGAGACATCCACAGCTTGAAAAGGAAGATGCAAAACAACACCTCATGTCTGTAGTAGAAAAGGTAAATGGTGACAGAGGAAGCTGAAGAGAGAAACAAAATGTTCAGGTTTTTTTTCATTACACTCTCTCAAAAAAATCGTCTCCCTCCCCCAAAACAAAACACAACCTCACATCATCTCTGAACATCCTGAGCTTGCTTAAAGGCAACAGAAGAATTGTCAAGAGGATGACTGGCAGCCACAACCAGCAGCTGCACACAGCAACTCCTCTCTGCAGCGGCTCAGAGCCACAGGTCATCACTGTGACACTGCAGGGCAGAGACAGGGAGTAGAAACAAAGTGATGCTGATGCTAATTCACCCATACCCACTCAATCTGTGCCTTTATTCTGCCTTTCCAAGATCTTTTCAGAACTAACAGCAACATTAGCTCTAGCCATTTCATGTTTCTTTAAAGTAAAAGAAGGTGTCAGTACTTCTTACCTCCTAAACCAGGGTGTAAACCTTGTGGACCTTGGTTTTGCTGCTGCATCACCATGAAGTTGGGGGGTACATTCCCCTGCTGCACCATAGGATTACGACTGGGAGAACTGACAGGCTGCTGGAATCCCTGGGGAAGTGTGCTACTCTGGGGAGGCCTTGGTCCCAGCTGCTGCTGCGTCTGGTTAACGGTTGGAGATGAGGCAGGAGATCCCTGCTGGAAGGAGGAGGGAGAGGAAGCAGGAGACTTGTTGGTCAGGTGGGGTTGCTGTAGTGGTGTAGGAACCCGTGAGGGCCCTCCCTGAAGGCTTTTCATTTGAGGAGCAGTAAACTGGCCAGGATTGCTCATTTGGGGAAAGTTTGAGTGAGCCTGGGAAGCTTGCTGGCTTCCAAAAGGATATGGAGGTGGAGGATGAGTAGGAGTTTGTACTGTTGCTAGAGATGGTCTTGCTTGAAGTTGCTGCTGCATTTGTCCAGGCAATGGGGCCTTTTTCCAACCCTGGTTCACTGTCAATGTACCCAATGCTCCCTGGGTTGGAGGAGGCTGAAGTGCTCCAGAAGGAAGCTGGTTCCAGCCAGGGGGAACTGGAACCTGTGCTGGTGAAGTGAATGAAGGTCGAATACCCTGCTGTGGCTGCTGATGTGGCTGGGGAGGACGAGTCTGCAACTGCTGCTGCTGCTGTAGCTGCTGAAAGTTGGCTGAGGTCATCTGCCTGTTTACAGGAACTGACTGCATTGAATGGAGTTGGGGAGCTAAAGATCCAGATGGATGATTTTGCTGCTGGATATTTAGCCCAGATAAGAGTGGGTCCATTGCATCTATTAAAATAGCAAAGAAAAGTAAAAAAAAATAAAAATAACCTACTGTAGACAAAACCCATCCCAAAACAAGAAAGGCTAAACTGCTTGTTTGCATTTGCTCACTCTGCATAACACGCTCCAGTGTTACAATTTCTCCAATAGACAGAACAAGCAATGCTATAAAAGTTTTCACTGTCTGGGAATCCTGAGAAGCCAAGTCTTCTCATTTTATAACCTCTAAAATGAAGGATAGCAGCTCCACAGCGCTTGTTGCTACAGAGTAATGTGGGCCTTCTGCACACCTAGAGCTGTAGAATCACAGAGTATCTCAAGCTGGAAAGGCACCTACACAAGGATCATCGAGTCCAACTCCCTGCTCCTGGCAGAACCACCTAAAACTAAGCCACAGGAGTAAGAGCATCCCCCAGATGCCCCTTGAACTCTGGCAGGCCTGGTGCTGTGACCACTTCCCTGGGGAGCCTGTTCCAGGGACTGACCACCCTCTGGGGGAAGAACCTTTCCTAATGTCCCAGCTGAACCTGACACAGCTTCATTCTGTCTCCTC